CGGGTGTACTCAAAAGGCCAGTTTTTCTTGTTTTCGCCCAAATTTTACGTCCTACCCAATCAGCTTTCATTTTTTGGCCGTTTTCGCAAAGTTGAAAATTAAATCTTTGGATTTAATTAAATCCGAACCACTTACAACGGGCATAAATTACACAATATAAACAAAAAATGAAAAAACAATCACTGTAAATCGGACAGTATTGACAACAAATGACTTGCCTTTCCAAATGCTCAGATCAATGTGAATGTGCAACCGGCATCAGTTTGACACATCAAGCTGCATTTGGTTGTGAAACGAACACCGCACACCGTGATAAAATATCGAAACGCTCACGATGTCGTTGTCACCAGATTTCTTCCACAGGCTACGGATCAAAACTGTACAAAACAAAACAAAAACACACAACAATCCATGGTTTGTTGATTTCGAAAATCACATGCACACGGTGGTATTGTTTGGTTCGATCACACGTTCGATGTCACAATGATAACAATTCAAATGACTTACCCTTTTTCCTTTTTGCTGGCTGTTCAATATGAATTTAGTCGAACGAAGCAAAGATTCATATTTCATGACATGGTGAAATTGTGAACGGCGGTTTGTTTATAATAACAGACTTCGAAATGAAACATAAATTATAGTAAGAATATACATGACAATAGTTTTGCCTGCCATCTGTGCGCAAATTGAAACGTAATCGTTGAAAATGAAACGACATGAATTTTTGAACCTCAAAATTCGACGAATTTGTTTTGTTTGTGGAAAGTGGCATCTTGGACTGATTCCGAACAAAAATATATGAAATCGATTCCAAATTCTCTGCTCTATCAAACTAAAACTACCATTTTCTGTTTATTTAATACCGAAAACACTCTAATGTACATACTCACCTAGGTTTCTCGATTTTTTGTAATGAATTTTTTTTCGAAAAGGCGTAATGAATAATGAAATACAGACACAATTTCTTAGTTTATCACAAATTTATTACATGGTTTATTTGCTAAGTTCACACTTCGATACACGTATGAAAAATGATGAACTTTCCTTGACTAATACAGCATAAAAAAGGTAATTGGATTGGTTTTTATTACACTCTGTATGTTTAAAATGAACAAAACTGATCTTGAAACATTATATAGCTCGCTTTTTTTCAAAATTAAACTGCGAAATTACAACATTTTTCTCTCTTAAATTGTAACAAAAAAAGGAAATATACATATTGGTTTTGAAATAAAATTAATTACAATGTGAAATTTAAATGTGTGATTTTTTGCATTCTCCTGAATTTTGGCAACTATTCAGTTGACTAGGACGATATTACTTTCATCATAAATATATATTAGATGAGCACTTTCTTAATTTGGACATCATCCAAAGTTTGTGGAAGTGTTAAAGGGGAAGAAATAAGAGTTTGTTTCCGTGGTTAGAGAAAGTGTGGATTATTTTATGCAAAGTTAGAGCCAAGCATGCGCGTGCAGTGAATATGACTACTTATGTATTCCATTCATATCACCCGTGCATGCTTGCACATTCCAGCTCATGAAATGTGTTCCAAATAATATGTATTTTAAGATTGACATTTAATAACGGTATACAAATATTGAAAGATAAAAAAAGCATTGCTCAAAACAATTTACACAAAATGTTTCCGCAAAGAACAGTCAAGACTTCTATGCATTTTCCAGAATGAAATTTTTCTGAAGCATCGCGCAATTGGCGATGCTAATCCATTTTCTTTTAGAACATCACGTATGCATTTTGTTCCTTTTTTTTTAAATGTTTCAATCCAATTTCAAGTTCATAGGTAATTATTTTTCTGTACATAATCTTTTAAATTTTGAATCGCTTTTGGATTCATAAATGCGATTTTTTGATTCTCTAGATGGCTTCGCGATATATACGTATGTTTTGTTCTATGTATTTATCCGAAGCGTGAAACTTAACTCAGAAACCATTAAAGGATCATTTCAATTGCTTTACCACTTGGGTATAATTTGTTTTCTTTTTGTTGAAAATAAAAATTCAAGTCATACGACCATATATGTATTTAATATAGCAGCTGAAAAGAAGTAGTATTAATATGGAAGCTTCATTTCTTGTGAAGAGTTTCATTTTAAATTCAACAATCAGTATCCTAAAGTACTGTTCAAATATGATGCGTTCCAATATTATTGCAAAAAATTTAATTCTCAAGAACGCTTTCTCAAGTATTGCACGAATATGAATTATTTAGTGTCAATACAAAGAGTTAAGAATTCTTTTTCAGGGGAAACCCGTTTCGCGGGATTTTCATGGGGTGCTTTTTCCCGACGATGATTGACAATCTACAAGGTGAGTACAACTGAGATACATAAGCAGTTAGAGCGTATTTTTCCAAGAAGAAAGATACATTCTATTTGATTTGCAAAATCTAACATTAACCAAACCTGCCATCGATGAAATGAAAAACATTCTAATAAAAATAACGGAAATAAAGATGGTAGATTGCAGTGTAAAAAATGGCAATGTCTATAAAGATTTTCTCAAATTTTGTGTGGATTTGAAATATCTGAACATTGATTATTCTGCCAATTCAAATGAATGTCTTTTTCATCGTTATCCATCACTTGAGAGGTTAAAGATTACCAATTCGAATGACCATTTCACACGAATAGAATCTTTTTTAAATGAACACCTGAATTTAACTAGCCTTGCAATTGACGCAAATATTTTGCAAAAATATAGAATGGAGCTTAATAACTCCATTGTCAATATGAATGATTTGATCATTTACCTCTCTAAAGGCAGTAAAGAATACGACCGTATTCTGTATGACCTCCAGAATCGTAATTTTTAAAAGGATTTGCACATTTACGCTGGGAGCAATACGTTGGAAAATGGTAAACTAGCAGATAAATTGCCGGGTTTAACCAGTTTGTATATCGAAGAAAGTATGAAGCTACCACAGATGCCCAAACTGAAAGATCTCGGAATTAATGCCGACCTGATTCAAGAACGCTTTCTCAAGTATTGCACGAATATGAATACTTTAGCGGAAAGAAATGTTCTAATTTTGGGGGGAAAATGTTCAATTAATGACCCAAGTCGTGATAGTTGTTTATCTCAAAAAGCATATGAAAACCCATGGGGGTTTTCAATGGTGAGAATTTGTATCGATGCCTTAAAATTTCGCTTTAAGAACGCTTTCTCAAGTATTGCACGAATATGAATGATTTAGTGTCAATACTGGGAGTTGAGAATTCTTTCTTGGAAGAAATAGCAGAGATACATAAGGAGTTAGAGCGTATTTTTCCAAGAGGAGAAATACATTCTATTTGTTTTGCAAAATCTAACATGTCACGAATAGTAGGCTTTGCTATCGAATAATAGACTATGTCTATTATATTGTCATTGAAAATATTTAAAATAAAATCAATCTTATTCTACTTTCCTTTATAAACTTAACATAACATTAGAAGAAATTTAAGAACGCTTTCTCAAGTATTGCACGAATATGAATACTTTATCGTCAATTGGTACAGACACCGGATATGCAAACGTGAATATTTATGACTGAATAAGAGAGCGATTATATCGTTTGAATTGGGATATTTCAGTCAAGATTCTTTTTGAATTTACCTTCATTTTGTTCTTTAAATTCGATTTGTTATCTTAAAACCGTTGGATTTGTTGGTTGGAATTCCTTTTCTTTGGGGAAAATGTCAGAGATACATAAGCAGTTATAGCGTATTTTTCCAAGAAGGAAGATACATTTGGTTTTCCTCGTATGGAGCTGACATTAATTCTGAAGACAACGAAGGATGCTTTGTTCAAGAAATTTACTCAGAAGCTGATCTCAATCGACATATGAAAACCCATTCTAATCACGTTTTGTAAAAATGTTAATTGATTCCGATCGAGAGCGACACGGTGTTTAAAAATGCAGCCATTCGGAACATTCCAACGAAATCGTAAACCAAATACAAATGCATGAAACGGTACCGTTTACTCGAGAGCCTAACTGAATACAAAAAGAACAATAACAGTATCATTCTAAAATGAATGTTTAACTGTATTGACTTTTCCTGGCAATAATCAGCGTTTATCACGCAAAACTATTAACACACCGTTAAGGCCAAAAGAATAATGCCAACTATTTTCTAGATGCTCATTATTCCGAAATTGATTGCATGCACTCAATTTGAATAAAGCTAGCTAGTCACAGCTCAGCTTTATTTGTGTTTTTTTCTTCATTTTCGAAATTAATTCTTCGAACCATCATTATGGTTATGGAAATTTAATTTTTTGTCTTCAATTAATTCACTTAGAACTTGAAAATGACTCAGACGGCCATATTGCTAGAAACAATTCACACGAAAAGTTAATCTCAAGAAAACATATGAAAACCAATTCCAATCGATTACCCAATTTGGTCATAAAAAATGACTGGAATCTCTTTCTTTGGATTAAATTTAACGAGAAAAAAAATGAGTTAATGCAAAAAAATCACACTATACACGAGAAAAAAAAAACAATCAACTGATTCAACTAAAGAAATTGAGAGCATTTCAACTGTTCGGGTGTATCAAAATCAAAAAATCAATGTGAACTTAGCGTTAATTTCCATATGGTTTCGATCCGGTTGAATTGATTTAAATTACGATTGTGCTGGTACATCTGTATTTTGCTCTGTTTTGTACTGTACGGTATTTTGTGACGAACGTGGGCCGTGTATACATCTTGATGCCTAAAAAAATGTCATATTCATTAGATCGCTTTACGCATGTGGGCATGTATGCTTATAAAAGTAAAGTTACTCAAACGAAGTCAAACAGAGTGAACAATAACATTAAAGTCGTTTTATTTGACTTACCCTCCGTTTCTGTTTGCTCTCTATTTAATTCGTAAGTTGCTTGTCAGGAATTTCGATCTTGGTAAGGGAATGTGACTCGTTTGTATTCTGTGAATTGAACATGGTTGTTGAAGACTTCGCTGATAATTTTATTGTGTGTACACGTCGGCGACAGTTTGTAATATACAGCCTGTTTACAACAAATAAACACAAAGTCGTTAAAAATTTCTAGTGATTATATTCACATAATAAACACATCCAAGACATACAACAATCGAAGAAAAAAAACTTACCGCTTCATTATGGTCTTTGTTTGCACGCGGTCGACGCATGTTGACTATGAACACCAGACCGCAGGCATACAACTTGTATGTTCAATGCTCACCAAACGACTGACTCATTTCAATGCTGCTGAGTTTGACACCGTGAACCTACTTTCTACGTCTATTTTTGTCATGCATTTTAAACTGTTAAATGCGATATCTTTTTTTCGTCTGAAAAATAAGAAGAGTGAAATTAGTTTTTTTCCGTTGTTACACACACCAAGAATGAAGAAGAAATTTTAGGTATACAATATGGATACATTTCCACACAATCTAATCCATGGATTAAAAGAAATAAACATAGACAGTTCACATGATTTTAGAACAGAACACTACATTTCTTGCGAATTCTCTTTGGTTTCCTTCTCCTTTTCACACCCGATTATGATATTTTTGCGAATCGGTCCGAGATCTCATGCACTTTGGACTCTTTCTATTTACCATTTGCTTCAGCAAAGTTTTTCGTACTGATGCCATGTGGTGCGATAATTGATTGTTCTGCGAAACGAGACACTCATATTTGCAACATTATTGGCAAACACCACATGTACAAACTCAATGTATTCGAGAAAAAAATATAGCAGCTGCAGTCAAATATGAACAAAACCGGGAGACTTGATCGAACATGTTATGTTTCATATAAAATGGTTGTCGAATTTATTATTCGCTATGTGTAGCCAAGACAAAAATACGAAACACAAAAGAAAACTCTTGAAAATGGGATGTAAGCGAGTGTAGTTTGTTAACGTGACTAAGCTGTATTCACATTTTTATATGTGGTAGTATGTGTTCGTCGCGTTGCTAATATAGAAAGTGATATTTTCAAAACCAGTTTCAATGAACGAAACATAAGAGGAACATAATCAACCCTTGTCTATGTATAAAATGTAATGTGCTATGTTGCATGTCTAAATATAAGAACGCGCAACGCATCGCGTATTCTATCATCTACAGAATACACACATAAACTCGAAAAAGAGTCTGGTATACCACGTTTGGAACGAATAGAAACATCATCATACAAGCGGAAATGAGATACAAATCAAATGAATCGGTAAGAATAATCTTGACCTGCCTAATTGAGTGAAAATAAATGAGAAACATAGAGTTTTTTTTATATGGATATGTTGTTGTAAAGTCCATATAAAAAAAACTCTTTGTTTCACATTTATTTTCACTCAATTTGGCAGGTCAAGATTATTCTTACCGATTCAAATATGTATTGCTATTACGACGTGAATTGCGAATTCGAAGAATTAAGACGTGGCGAGGCACCTGAGATAACAATTGAATTGTGAAGCACTGTTAATTAATAATTCTGTAGAGAGAAAGAAAATAAATCCGTACGAACTGCTAATGATATAGCACCGATGATGTGCACACATATAAGGAAACATTTATTGCGTCATTGCTAACTACATAGAATTTTTCCACGGTCGATTTACAGCTATTTTCAATGTTTATTTCGGAATATCTTGGAAAACATGTTTCGAATCGATAAAAACTCATTTTCAAGTAATTATTCACTTTTATTCAAAGCGAAACATTCCATTTTTAGGTATGCATTTCGAAATTTAGATTAAAAAAAAGTGTGTATGACTCTACTTACTATTTTTGGATATGAAATACATCTCACAATGAGACGCAATGACGTCCCATTAGTGAAAGTGATCTGCTCGCATCCACAGCAAACTTACGAATGACTTCACAGCTCAAAACACTACTTCACAATATTGTACCAGTATGGCAATCAAGTATTTGCACGTGGAGCCATCTCTTAGATTCTATAGAATCTTGTACTTACCATGAAATTTTTTACACCGAAAAAGAGCTCACAGATTTAGGTCAGAACACAATGAACGGTTTTTTTCTGATATTTTCTCAAAACATTTACTAAAAAACATTTCGGCAGAAGGAATGCCAACTACAATTTATTCATTCAAATGATACGGTGCTTTTTGTTTCTGTTTGCTTAAATTCAATGGTTTTGTCGTTACAATTTGGTTTGGTTTCGTTTTTTTTTCTGGTGATATCACTAGATAATATTTTCATATCATTGCTTGAGTAATACGAAATATATATATAAATTTATTATCAAATACAAGATAAACGCTTGAAAGTGCGTTTTTGTTGTTGTTGATGTTGATTTCTTTCTTTGTCAGACCCAAGAATGTCTATAATACTGACCAATTTGTCTCTATCTTTTCATTTGTCATCATTATATTTAGCTAGAATCCTAAACTAAACAATTTTCATTTGTTTTATATTTTTCTTTAGATTTTCTTCGCTTCAATTTTTGATCATTCGCACCAAAAAATGGGTAATCATAGTTCAACTCAGAGATAACCGAAGCGATTTGCAACGGTCTTGTTTGTCGTCGTGAGTCAGAGAAGACATAAAAAATTCCTATATAGACTAGCATAGCTCATGAAAATCGAAACACAAGTCGCTGGAATTCGCAGCACAGAAATTGTTTGGCAAACCTACGACTCAACACGAGTCAGCTATGATCAATTGAAATGTCAAAATTGTATGAAAACCTTTAAATAACTTAGTGATTCACGAACTCGTATGAAAGACTCGCGAATCTTCGCACAGATTGACAAAACTCGTGCGACTGTCTATATTTTTTTCTACTGACTTGTAAGATTTGCACTGAGTCGCGTGACACATAAGCCCCTAGGCGAAATGAATGGCATTGTACGCACTGCAAATGTTTTTGCATACGTAAAACGTGCTTGTGATATGACTAATATCGATTGATATTTTTAGAAGTGCGTTAGAGCGCACCGGAACGTTTGTGTTGTTTTTTTAAAGCAAAATCAATGATATTAATAAAAATTGAGCCGGGCACGCAGTGAATTTTTTTTAGCAATTGCAGATTGACGCACCGCGCGCTAAAGAGACTCTCAAAGCAAAATATACAAATGAGTATGCGCTCAGTCATCTCTGGTTGAATTTAATATTTCTACATGAGGTAAATACGAGGAAAACAAAGGTAGAAAAAGTATCTAGTCTGAGATGTTCATGGTCAAAATGGTGTCCATTCTATTTCTATTGACTGAAAAGTCTTTGAGGTCAACACATTTCTTTCGAACGAGGAAACAACATATACCTCATTGAATTCACAAAACCATAGACCACTTTCAGGTAACTGTATGAAGACAGAGAGAAAGATCAAGTGGAATTATGCGCATTTTTGTAGATTTTTTCCCTTAATTATCTAGCATTTTGCTAACTGCAAAGACTTAATGCCATTTTTCCATAACTAAATGGAATTTTCGTTTGTTCTTTGATAGAAAATAGTAAAAGTGATTTAATTTTATATGCGTATAAAAATCTACTATAGTATAGCTATAGCTGCAATCATCATCATACATTGCATTGCCAAGTATTGTTTGGTTTTGAGACCCGCGTGGAAATTCGGAATGTATTTTATTTTTGTTTTGTTATTCAAGGAGCAATCATCATTCCGTACGCCCCTATTCTTGAGTTTAATTGCATTGAATGAGCTGCACCAAAATCGAAATAAAATCAATTACACTTTTTGATCACACTTATTAAATCATTTTGTTGTCACTATTTCAAATTTGCTACCGACACGGCATTTTTTTGGAATTTATGCTTAATGATGGGTTGCACCGCAAGAATGTCTATATTCTTTGTAGACTTTTCAACATTACATCTAAAGTAATTGGAATTTCAGATATTTTGATTGAAATCGTGTTGATAGCGTGAGCTGGAGAGTGAGTGAAAGTAACGGTGCCAATTATGCATGTATCGTCTCAAATCAATCTATATGCATGTACGATCTATGCAATGCAATGCAATGCAATGCGACTGAGTTTAATTAGAGTTCAAATGTTGTGTTTGATATTGTGGTTGTTTTTTCTCCATTTTCGTCTTTTCATTTCATTCTAAATCAAATTCTGTTCATCAATAAGTCTCAATAAATTTTTGATTGACATTCACAAGTGGTTGATGTCTATGTTCGCTTTAATTATAGGTTTTAATATAACAATAGATTTGTCCATCATTCAAATATAGTATTAAAGGGTGTTGTTTGTTTGTTTAATAAAAGACCATGTTTAAAAAGATATGTACGGATAAAATGTTAGATAATTACGAGTTATTTTGGATTTTTGTGTTGATTGAGTAAACAAATGGTCGATTTAAAAAAAATGATGTCCGTTATGGAACTTCCATTTTGAAAAACACTCGGTCAAAGAGATAGCTATTTCTTTGACTATAGTCGTGTGTTCCCAGAATATGTGTTTGGTTTTTCTTTTCTTCTAATTTTTGCATAACGATCGCCGAAAAACCGACCTTTCCCCGTGTAAATGGGACAGAAGATCGTGTTATTGCGGTCATGTGTATAATGTGCATGATTATAAACAGTGCTTGCACAAAACAGTTCGTCACTACGTGGTTCAAATTCCAAGAAACAGAAAATGAACCGGGTAACATTCATCACCCCATGAAAAAAGTTCTAAAGTGGTTTTGTGATTATCACGGGAAGAGATCCTCAGCGATTTCTTTTTGATTTACAAAAAAACATCTACTTCAAATCTATTGTTCCTAGTTGAGGAACCGATGTTTCGACCTTAATGCTGTTGCCAATACTCTTATATATTTTCAATATGTACTATGATTTAATGTGGTCATATACAGGTAACGCTAACAGCATTGAGGGAACCATTGTACCATCTGACGACGTTTCGGAGCTCCTTCTTTCAGTCAGTCAGTCGAGATTATATGAGCGAATGTACTTTAGCCGATAAACAATTGTGTAGTACGAACACCACAGGTTTTGGGCAGCATTCCATATCGAGCTCCTAAATATGAAAACAAAATTATGATATCAATCATAAATATATTATTACATACTATGTATAAAACGTGACTGGTTTCGAAACAAAAAGAGCTTACGATTTCGCCTTCGTCACCCCCAAAGTCCAAGAAGAGCAGTCGATTTCCATCATCGGCCGATGCTTTTAGCTTATCAAATGAATATGTCCACAGTACTTTTGCTGGTGATCCCAATCCACTGTCAACCAATGAAAATCCACGATCCAAATGCACCAGCAGTTGACATGGTCGATTCTGAATGACAATTTTAAAGAAAAGTTTATCAATTAATTGTTTTAATTTTTGATGATGTTCATTCCACTCCTACCTGATACAAGCATCGGAAAGAAAATTCTCGTTGGTAATTAATGGCATTGTGAGTGCCTTGCACTAAAGCCCGAGCCCACGCAGCCATATCTCTATGTGTTTCCGATCGAAAACAGTGTGTGATAATTCCGCGTGGCGTCCCACAACGCACACAAAATACCGTCGACTGATTCTGCAAATGAAGAGTAATTCAATGGAAATGGATAAAAACTGAAATGAGATTTCCATAACAAGTTTTCAACGTACCGAGTTTGAGTTAACGGTTGAATTGTTGACCGTACCAGCCGTACCAGCTAATCGTGTTGATGCCAGTGGCGAATTTTCAACGGGTCGACTCCAGGCTTCCAATGACCACGGAGCGCTTTCGTATATCCTAAAAAATTGAATAGATCATACAGAACCAAATAGACAAACAAAAACCCATACACACTCAATAAAAATGTTTAACGATAACCACATTAAAAAGTTCGGAGGCGAAATGAAATTGGCAATATGAAAATAAATGCGCTCGGTCTCAAAAAAAGGTATTTACATTGGTATAAAAACAAATCGTAAATGTTTGTCCATTAGCGAAGAGACACAGTTGTGTGCCATTTTTTCACATTGAGGCACATTCCCTTTATTTTATCGACTTATTTTTCTCAAATTCCCATGATTTTATGTCATTGTCCATTTCGCCTTCAATGAACGATGCATCTATTATTACGATGGAAACATAAAAAATGCCAATTGGGGTTGATATTGCAATCAATGTCTTGATTTTCTTACGATACTTGCGATTTCTGGGAATTCAATTTAAACTGATATATTTATAAATAAGTCGAGAAATCTTCAAGCGTTTCAATTGCGAATTTAGTCGCAGCAAAAGATATCATTCAATATATGATGTTCTTCGAATGACACGTAATCAGGATGCACATTTTCATCATAGTCCATAAGAACATTTGATAATGCTGCGTAACGACATTTTGTAGGAAAATTTAATGAATTTTTGGGTAATTGTTAATGTATGTTAAATAATTTGATTGGGCATTTGTCATTGTTTGAAACACATAGCGATTATATCAGTACGCTTCAATGTGGAAAACAGTGAATGAAATAGCCGGTAGTTCTACCGGAATCCGGTAGCTCTGAATGAGAAAATGCAGCTCTAAATCTGAATTACGGTAGTTGTGATTTGAATAATTTGACCCCCAATTTTCAGATCACCACTTGGTTACCTATCATCTGTAGGTCAATAAGATTGTTCTGCGTGAAGAGCTCAAAAATATAAAAAAATACCAATTTTCGGTAGATTTCTTGGACTTTTCTCCACTCACTCCTGAAACTTGAAAATAAAACACGATAGCATGTCTCCATCGAAAACTCAATTACAAAAATGAGATGCGTAGTTTGGATTGGCTCATTAGAAGTGAATAACTTGACTAAACAGAAAATCTGATTGAATACAGAGACGGGCCAAAAATGGAAGTGATGGAGGTCTTCGTATATCGGACCACATGCGACCTGAGAGCCCTCTCTTGACCAATATCATATTGGCAATATAGAAAGTACGGGCACAAAAATAGTATTCACAGCGGGCGCCTCGCAATAGACTGATTACAGCCTGAGCGACGAGTCTCTGACCCCCGCATATATCCAATAATCCAATAGGAAGTACGCAAAGAAAGCATTTTTTAGGGTTTTGTCCATGGCAAACTGCCAATATTTTGCGAAAAAAAAAATGGGGGTCTGTGAACAATCCAATACTCACTTGTCCATAAATTTGGTCCAAAATCGACATTTCTTGGAATTTTCGGAATTTTGTTCAAAAATGACACTTTTATATGGGAAATCGCCAAAAAATCCATTATCTACTGGTATTATTTTGTAAAAATATTGGTCGAAGAACTGAACACCTACTTCTTCATAAATTTGGTCCAAAGTCGAGATTTTCACGATTTGACAGCAAAAACCAAAATTACATTGATTCTTATGGACACTGAATGTACAGAATGTGACAAGAGCGAAACTAGTGAAAATATTCATGAACTAACATATAATCACAAAGTTTCTATCTTAATTGCATTGATTGGATCGTGGACATTTCTTGAAATTTTCCCTGAAAATGACGATTTTATATCTAATCAAGGTAAACTGCTATTTTTTGGCAATATAATCAGCGATATTGAAATAAAATGATCTTTTGATCAAAAACTAAGCGGAAGGATGTAATTCGTTTTATTTGCAAGTAAAGACTGTTTGAATCAAATACGGTATATGATAGCTTCTGAGTTGTAGTTGTTTCATAATTTAAATCACTACCCGCAAGAAGGTGAAGTTTCATATAATTTTTATGAAGAAATTGTTCTTCAAGGAAAACATAAGACAACAATATATTTTTCAAAAGAAGGTTGGTGCTTAACTTCCCCTGACATTATGGCGCTGGAATTTATAATAGAATAACTTATTCTTTGTAACCGGTAGCTCTGAAAATTTCTTATTTCAATCACTGGTGGAAAAGTTTCGATTTCAACCGTGAATACGTTGAACGTTTCTGCAGTCGACAGCTACGAATATCAACTTCACGAAAATTGCCTGACATTTCACCCCGCTGCCTCAGAATAGCCTGCAACTGTTGTTGCTGTTATTGAATATATTTTAACGACGTTATTTTCATCCCACATACTATATTTGTATTTACGCTCAATAATAGAACCAAACAAAAAAACAACGGGCTTATTAGGTCTCTTTTATGCATGTCTATCAATAAACACGTTTTAGCATCGCTTTTTCGCTCCATGTCATTTCGCCCATGTCATTCATCATTTACGCGTTCACATTTTTTAATTGTAAACGCTTGAAGTTTTGTCGCGCATCGTTTCGATCAGCTTTTGAATATCCCATTTATTTGGAATAATTATTTTAAAGCGTGGATCGGCGTGGATATTAACGACACCCATAAAATTTCAGACCTTTCGTCGTAGCATGTTGATGCTTGGTTTGTTCAACGCGACAGTTACATCCTGGATGATTGGTGATCAATTTAAAATTACATACCAAGGGGGAAAGTACTAGATTTGTATAATTCAAATAATGCAATTGTGTACAAAAATAATCCCTTCGGAATTTTCAATAATGCTCTTTATAATATCAATAAATAATAGCGAAGTATGGTCAAGTAATTGACGCTTGCGTGCATTTGAATTCCTTTCGGGATTATTTTTGTACTAGATTGCATTATTTGAATTATACAAATCTAGTACTTTCCCCCTTGTTACACACACTCCATATTGATTTATTCAATTAAATCTATCCAGAAAAGTCAAAATTTCATTAAAAACTATTCGTCTAATGAGTGAGATCATTCAGGTGTGTTGCCATTGACCAACATACGAAATTGAATATTATTGACAAAGGCTTCCAACACATTTTACCATGTAAATTCATCACGTAATGGCAACATAATTTGATTGGGTCTATTATGCGCGGACGGAAGAGAGAGAAAGAGAGTGCATAGCACACATATTTGCTTAACAATGGGATTCTTTGCGCATTTGTCACTTATCGGAATGTCAATATTTCACGCGTATCCCGTAGCCCATATGTATTTATTCATTCGTGCGTTTCATTTGGAATGCTTTGTCAACTTAACCGAACAAATGAAAAAAATTGTTTTGATATCATAAATTGATAGCAAGCCAAAGCATTGCATGAAATCAAACACCTTGTCAGGTCTTGGTGCACGATGAACAGTGAAAAGTGTGCATTTTCACTGTACAATATTCAATGCCTATTATGTGAAACAGTGTGTATTTTTGTAGAAGTTTTTTTTTTATTTTAATTATTTATTTTTCTTCCTCCGATTTCGTTTGTTCAATGATGAAATGAACACAATTTTCCAATTCCAAATTTTCAACATATCGTCAACATTCCATTGAAGTTGCAACAATTAGCAATCATGTTTGCGTGAAATGATGCCCATTTAATGAAAAATATTAACTTACCGTATTTCCCGGTCAGTGATGCCAACAAAAACCGGTAGCCATCGATCCAAATCGTCAGAACTTTCCGAGCTCGATTGGCCATTTTGCTACGTGATTTACGAGAATTGCCGATTCCAAATGAAGTAGACATGCAAAATATTTTAAAAAGATCTATTTAATTGTCCATTCATAAGTGGTGAAAATGATGGAATTTGTAAAAAAAAGGACGGAATGCTGAAGGATTAGCCAGGTTGTTATTTATTAAGTGTTATTTATTTCCTGTTGCTATTCAACGAATGAATAATGTATTTGATTTTATCGAATCATGCTGCTCAACCTTGTACGTGGTCTGCGTATGAAAATTGCAAAAGAAAAACATAATCTTTTTTATGCACTGGAATTAACCACGGCAAATCTAGGAAATATTAAATCACATGATTTTTGGTTTTTCATTTGTATGCTACCGAAGTGTGTACTCTGTACTTCTTTTGAAATGAAAGCGAATCATGGAGGATACTGTGCAGCGATAAAAAAAACATACAAAATAACATAACTTGAATCAATAAATTAATAAGTTTTAAATCGCGACATAAAACGGAGCGCAGAAAAAAAACGATGACAAAAACGGGTGAAATGTACAGTACACACACGTGCGGGCCACTCACGTCGATTTAACGCGGCCAACACACCGACAAGGTATGCAAAGCATTTGACCAATTTTCAAAAAGATTGAAGCGGTGAGATTCCGTGTGATATTGAGCGCTTATGTTCGTAAAATAAATTACCTGTTCGTTTCCTACGCGGCGACTCAACCAGCCGATATGCTTCAATTCACCAATAATATTGGAGAGTGCTCGATTTGCATCGAGTAAAGCTCGCTGTGTGCTACGTGCAATTGCCGAATGCAATGCATTAAACCAGGCTAACGCCTCTTGTGGATCTCCAGCACGTAAAATACACGAATGTACTCCATCCGGTGAATGAAGTTCAATACAGCGATTTTCTGCAAACGAATAAGAAAAATGGATTGCAATCATTCGACACTAAATCATTTTTTCCTGCAATGCAATTTGAATGAATCCGAAGGAAATTCCAAACGGGCTGCTGTTCATTATTTATCAATCTCAGTTTCTTTCATGGAACAAAATTTATTGTGTATACGAGTGCGTGTTTTTTTCTTCTTCTTTCAAGTTACTCATATACTAGGCAAATTTAGAGAGATTTAATTTACAAAATACATGCTTTTTGTTCAATATATTTATGATCCGAAAGAAAAAAATCCAGTTAATCTTTTGGCAACACTCATTGAACGTCCTTATTTTTGAGCGGCATTGAGTTGGGAATCATTATTCTTTGACATTATACTACATTCCGCTTATTGAATTTGTGAGCCACCGGATAGATTGCAGAAAAGTGCCATTAATAAGTACGGCATATTGATAATTTCACAATGGATTAGGTTTTAAGGATTGAAAACTGATGCGATTTTGTAGCTTGGAATCGCGTCGTATTTTAATGTATGTGTTAGTACACTTTTTCTCCAGATAGCTAGTTTATCTCACTCCATTTGCCAAGCATATTCTTTGAAGTAGAGAAGCTACGAAAAGAGAGGGAATATACACAATGCTTTTATTTTCTACTCTCAACTATGTTTAAAATGAAAATGGCTTTGTATTCCATTCAATTCAGTGGAATGACATCTCGTATGCGGTTGAATAGATTGTGCGAACAAGAAGCGCAAGAGAAAACTTAAGTTTGCAATATTGTTCGTATCCAATAATATCCTTTCAAAAGATTGTTCAACATGATGTAATCTTGTCGCTCACCTTCATTTGTAGAGTTTGCTATAAAACAGAAGGTTCCGCATACGCATAAACATACAAAACAAATTCTGATGGGAAGAGAAGCAATGAATGAATGAAATGAAAACAGTAAAGCAAACAAACCATTATAATGTAAAAGACAACATGAGCTGTAAGAGGATGTCTGCGTTTTTTCCCTTATAACAAATTGTTATTTGTTGCAATAAATGCAATTCGGTTGCAGTTACTAACAATTAGGACGATTTTTCCATTAGCATAATTTATGATACAGCACAATGCGTGGCATAAAATCAAATAAACAATAGCCGAATATGGGACCTGAAAAACTCGGATTTTCTGCAGTATGTATGCGCGGTTGCAGTTGAAAAGAAGTGTGTTCGAAAAAAATTCTATTTGGCGCCTCTGTATGGAATGGGTTATTATGAAAGGCAGAAAAAAATTTCAAGCGCTTAAGAGAGAGAAAATTGTTGCAGAGTGTCGTGCGCATTTGGCTCCAGAAAAAATGATTTGTTATAACTTATAACATTGTGAAAAGCTTATGATTGGCATTTCCTTCATAAAAAAGGCGTAAAAGCACAGAGGCAATTTAATTTTCTTTTTTCCGCTTTGAACGGTCTTTTTTAGTGGTTTACGTACCTGGATCGTGGTATTTTAAGTTTCGAGCAAGATGTGTCAACTGTAGCGGTATGTAACGAGTATCGGCTCGGGGTGGACTTTTCGGCGCAGATGGTGGTGACAAAGATTTTGACGATGTGCTCAGCGTATTTGAACCATTTGGATTAATCAATGGACATAAAAATGCTCGTTGCAACTCCCATCCAACCTCAGATATGATGCTCGCCTTCCGAAAGTATGGGGTCACCTCCCTTAAAAATTTAACTGCAAAAACAAAGTGAACGAAAAAAATATTGAATACAAATTTGGCAGTTTACTCGGGAAATTCATACATCATATTCCATCATGCAATACGTTGAATATTTGGATTGAACGCAATTGAGGTTCAACAATAAACTTTGACTTGAGTGCACATTTTTTGTCCTTTCCCACATTTTTACCATTTTTACAGATAAAAGACGATTTGTCGTACATTTTTTTTACCAGCACTTTGCATCCAAACAGTATAGTTACAATAACTGTTTCGTGTTTATCACAATGTAGACGAGTGTCCTGGATCATTCTTCATCTGATTGCATTTTGTGTGAACGTACTTGTCGAGTGAAATCATTTGTTTTAGTTTTCATTACATTCCAGTTGCAAATTGATAAGTATAATAAACCACCTACATCTTCGCTATTATACATAGCAGTGCATATTATGCATAGTTATTTACAAGCCACAGAAGAGTCGATTGGGACATCACATTACCATTCCGACTGTGAGTTCGTCCATCATAAAAACAATCATTTTTCTTCCATTGCAAAAACTGAAACTGGGTAGACTAAGCCAAGAGAAATAATATGATAAAGGGAGTGAGAAAGAGAAAGAGAGAGGCCAAATTGAAAAGAAGAAGAGAACGAGCGAATGAAAGCACACTGTTCACAATTTTTTTTTCTTTTCGTTTACCTATTTTTTACGCTTCTCTTCCGATTTTTTCGCTGATTCATCTCTGCGTTTGTGGTGCATTCATTTCACTGACAAATGCTGTTTTCGTCATCGCTATTTTATGGTACGAGAATGTCGGTTGCCCACAAGTTCCTCGTTAGGCTGATTTTTCGCGTGTACGCACGCCATCCTCAAGCCATAAATATTGCCACATTCTCTTTCATTGTTGATACTATTATACACTTTTTTTCACTTTCGTTCGTCTGCACGATTGTATTTTAATTTCAATTCATTTTTTTTTTTTCATTCAGCTTTTTGCGATTATCTTGGTTATTTTCAATGATAGGCACATAGAGTGTATCCAATGTCCCTAGCTTGTAAACAAAATGCATTTTAAGCGCACATTTGAATAATACACTACAGATTTACATTTTCGATATGTTAATAATATGTTATTGCCCGACATATTTATTATTATGTTATGTTGGGATTTTTTTTATCTTAATAACGTTATTAAAGATTTGACATAATAATAACATATTATCTTAATAACGACCAAAAAAATCGCAAAAAACAGTTTCATGTAAAAAACATGTCAATTTTTTTCAGACGAAAAAATGTTGAAAAAAAATGTGTCTTGC